AGAGTACAGTGGACTATAGTACATACATGGAGCTAGTAGTAGATAAAGGTAGTTGATTGAGGAAGAAGCCAGCGCAAGAAACAAGAGGCTTGTCCGCATCAAGGACATGCATGATGCTAATTTGGAAGGGACAAGCCAGGCTAATTGTAGCTTGAGACATGATGGCATTTTGTGTAGCTTGGCAAGGGAGGCTTCAGCTTCAGCCTCTCAGTTTATTCAGCTTGAGCTTGAGATTAAGTTGACACTTGACACATGCATTAGAGTGGTGGACCAGATGGAGTGGCAAGTTACTCTTCCTGTCACCACACCAATAATATAGCAATATATACATCAATATATAACATACTGTACATGTCACTTGTAGCTTGATATTATTTTATAACAAGTGAATGCCCACCTTTTTGGATGCTCTATGGATATTTAAGATCTCATGAATCTGCTAAGATGACCCATAATAAGAAAGAAGCAATGTGAAGGAAGAAGTATCAAGAAACATGGAGCGTTTTTTTAAGGGTAGAATGAAAGGAAGTAGAATCAGAATACATAAAGGATTTAGAATGAACAGGAATGGAATGAAAGGAAGAAGTATAAAAAAACATAGAGCTAATTCATTAGGAGCAGAATGAAAGGAAGAAGTATTAGAAAACATAAACAAAAGCTTTAGAGTGAAGAGTATGAACAAGAATACCAAAAGATTAAAAAAGTAGTATCTGAAAAAGCACCGACAAGAGTAGAATGAAAGGAAGAAGTAACAAACGGAAGAAGTAACAAAACAATACAAACAAAAGCTTTAGAATATCAACAAGAATACAAAAAAAAAGTGAAACTGGCAAAAAAATAGTGAAATCGCCGTTGCCGGGGATCGAACCCGGGTCACCCGCGTGACAGGCGGGAATACTCACCACTATACTACAACGACTTTGTTGCTGACAATCGATTGCACCCCATAAAATTGGGACATTTCTTGTACGGTCAAACAACTGCAGATTATGACTGAGCAAGCCATAATATGTTTTCAATGGACACGGTAATCACATACAAAACCATGAACCAACATCAACATGACATTATTAAAGGAGCTTTCCACAACTTTTGCCAAGGTTCATGCAAGTTACTACAACCAGAAACAGTTTGAACATACGCCTTATAAACCAGCGGAATACATTGTGATCACCATCATATTTCCTATTCTACTGGAAACAAAATTCCTGCAATGCGAAAAGTTCACTGATAGAAGTATGTGGTATGCCAGGAGGGGACTTTTTCTGTTCTATATCTATGTTTTACATCCATCAATACAACACAATGCGGCACATGAGAGAGCGTGGAGTCATCACTGGATGGGTGTGTACGAGTGCCCTCCAGAAGGACCCGAGCCCTTATGCTGGTCTTCAGCTGCCATCTTCTCCTTTGTCATTGTACCAACATCAGTGGCAGCCTTGGCAACTTTGTTGAATGCGTTGGTGACCCACGAAGCCCCGGTGAAGACATACCTATTCTTCATGATAGCAGATCCAGCAGTGCTCACCTTCTGTTCAGCAGCAGCGAATGCAGACTTGGTCTTGTCCGACACCTGGAACTTCTGATCCATCTCCTTGACCTTCTCGTTCACTATGGAAGTACCAATAGTGAACTTCTCGCTAAGACCAATCTTCCTGTCAATGGAGGCCACCTTGGCGCCAGCAGTGGATGTGAACCCATGCTTCTCATCAAAAGCTTTTGCCTTGCCAACGGCATCTTTCCCCAGGGTGAACCCCTTAGCAAGCATGGTGCTGACAACATCCTCAGCCTTATGGACAACATTGTTGTCTTCACTGACAGGGACACTGGTTGCACTATACTGAGAACAGAACACAATATTCAATTCAAGCTATTCATATTCCATAAGATCAACAGAATGTTGCAAATATGCCCATGTTAGCACCGGGAGCTACTCTAAATTATATTTGCACCTATAATTTGAAATTATAGATTGCACTTATGGTTATGAAAATGGAATATGTAAAAGCACATGAGACAAGGTTTCATTTAAGCTAAGAAAGCAGAAAATCCAGTGCAATCAAGAACATGGGTGAGAATTATTGTGCAGACAAAACTGCCATATTCAGTTGATGATAACATCTCACTTGGGTCACATATTGAAAAATCAAAATATGAGCATATTAAATCAAAACTGAGGAATTGTGTACCATTGGAGGAGCAGATGAAGTAGGGGGTGGTTGATATTCTGGAGCAGGTGCGATGATGACAGAAAGATCAACTATCGTTGCGCCCTGTTTCAATGAAATAGAACGACATCTCAGCTTTTGCTCTAGCAGAACAAACAATTGTTACAGGGACATCAAATCCTACTATAGGAAATGGAAATGCAACTAAAGATATTGTTTTTGCTTCTGCTTCCTTTTTTTTGGCAATGCATGCACTAGAAGTTCCATAGTGATTGACCACGAGCCTATCATCAGCAAAAAAAAATGGGTAAAACGGGTATTAATTCACAACTGATAAGTAGCAACAAAAGCTAAACTTCAGGTATTGAGGAAACATCAAGCATGCCAAACTTGTAGGTAACAAGGTGCTTTCATTGAGATAATAAGTCTATTTTTTTTATTTAAAAAAAAGCATGATAAGGTAAGACAAGACAAGGCAATCAGAAACATCAGACATCAAAGCTTCACACACATACACATGTAGCGATGAAGGAAACAAGAGTTCAATGAAGGTTAAGGAATAAGGAACAGCGAAAATGGAGTACAGAATATGCAACAAGTGTACTCAATGCTACGAAGTCCTTCAATTACTTACTGAAAGAAGAAGTGCAGTTTCTGCTCCTTGGGGATCTTTGAAAGTCACATATGCAACTTGAGACCACTCATCGCCACTGCCAATGGAAGGCAAACAAAATGATGAGAATGCTAGTAAAGGGCAAATCAAATCTCCTTGGTTGGGTACATGTTGCAATTTTTTTTAAAAAAAATGAACCTTTGCATCTCCACATGTTCAATGTCTCCTGAAAATGAAAAGAACTCCTTAATGTCTTGCACAGTTGCACTCAGGGAGACATTGGTGACCTTCACAGTCCTCACCTGTAACGAATAAAACATTATCACTATAATTTTCGAATCAAGTATGTAGGGATATAGAAAACAGGGTATATGAAAAAAAAAATCAAAGGCAACAGCACACAATTACTGAGATCAGCATCTGTACACATATAAGAAAGGTTTTTTTTCTTTTGAAAGTTTATAGAGAGAGCATGCAAGTGGGGCTACCCTTGACCAACTTCTAACCAAGTCTAAGCTTGAGATTTTCATCTGTATAAATAATTCACAGCCTAAAATGATGAATGAAGTAAATAATAATACTTCACTCGCATGAAGAAGCCTAAACTATGTAAAGATGTATTTTCTGAGCGTACCAGAAAAGGTCAATATAATATTATGTGCAGTTACAAACTAGCACCATCGACCAAAATGACAAAATGGGGCTTACAGCACTGAAAAACTTGCGCAGAACGGCTAGAGCCTGTTTATGGAAGTAATAAAGCTTATTTATAGACTAATAATCCCAAGCACAGAGCCACAAACAAACCGCCTGCCTAATTTTGCCCTAATTCAGAGTCACTATGCAGACGGGATCAATTAGGTCGCTTATTAAAAGGAAAGGAAAGGAGGGAGGAGTAGGAAGTGTTGATGATCTCTACGCTACACCCATAATCTCTCCCCTAACTCCAGACGATCTTCCATGACTAGATCTGCGTAAACACTCCCCTCTTCTTGTTAAATCTAAAATCATTTGCCCACCACCGATTAAGCTATGTATGACTAGACGGTTGACCGATTGGGCACCGGATTCGCCGGCAAAAAGAAAAACAAAAAAACCGCGATTCCGATCTGAATCGCCGCAGCACCGGATTCGCCGCAACACGTCGCCTTCTCCGCAGACCGCAGAAGCTAAACCTTAAGCCTTAAGGAAAGGGTAAGTGCGGGAGGGGGATCGACGGACGCTTACCGGCTTGACGTCCATGGCGAGGAGGAGGCAGACCAAGACCAAGGAGGGGGAAGTAGAGGAAACTGTAAGCGCGAGGAGGAGGAGCAGCGGCGGCGGCGGAGGTGGAGGCGGAGTGGAAGCAGCGGCGAACTGCGGAGAAAACGACGGCGTCGGCGGAGGAGAAGAAGAAAGAAAGAGAGGAGACTAGACTACGCGTATTGCGCTGCTGATTTCGCTCTTGGGCTTCTTGGGCTTTCTGCTGGGCCTAATTCTCTCTGTTTTCTCGATCTGATCCATTTATTTATTTAGTAGATCGGTAAGTCAACGCTGCAAGTTTCAAGTCAAAAATACGGAGAATTTGAATTTGAATTCTGCAAAAGCATCTTCCGGTTTTACTAGTAGTACACCAGATGGTAACCAACTCACAAGTTGGTATACTGGAGTACTTGACAGTTGACACTTGACAGTACCATCGACCCAAATAATTACATTCAGATATTTTTACATTGTTCTCTAGCTTAATCCCAACTTTTGTTTGAGAACAAAGCTAGGGGCATCTTCAGATTATTTGTTTTCGGTTTGCCTCGTTCATTTTCTTAAGCTTTACATCTCAAACTTAACTAAGATGTGTTGTTAAGCAAACAAGGATTAAGATAACTTCCGTTGAGCTGGGTATGATGATCACTAGTACATTTTTAGCAAACTACTCTATTGTTCGGTTCTGTTGCAACTAAATAATATATTCACTTGCATGGAGATGCCTAATAAACCATATAAGGATGTATGTTTCTATCGGGGTTTGTTGGGTATAACTATAAAATGTTCAGATTCATTGTACTACGAAATATCTTATCCGGTATTATGTTGCTATATTATAGGACGGAGGGAGTATATGGCAACAAACAGCCAGGAACGGATCCAACGTGGGTGCATGGGACTCAAGTCCCCCCTTCACCCAAAATACTACTAGAGCACCCCCTTCAATTTTTTCACCATAAATGATAAACTAAAAGTTCCTAAATGGCTGGAGGTTGAAGAAATTGCGTAATTGAGTCCCCCTAATTATTTTTTTGTTCCTGGATCCGTCCTGCAAACAGATATAGTAGCAAACTACAATCCCTACAGTAGCCATTGCAGCTGCTGCAGTACATCATACATAAGTTGGTTGGATAAATTTTTGCTTGACACCAAATTAAAGCTCCTTGCCTTTAATTACCGATCGAGCTAGTGACAGTGGAATTAATAGTGGAGTTTGATGATTTAGTACTGTGGCTAGATCGATAGCTAAGCTAGTCGACGATGAGGATGGGTTGGTCGGAGGTGAGGCCCTTGGAGGTGACGACCTCCGCCGGCAGGCCGCCGCGGAGTATCTGCACCTGGAACTCCAGACCTCCGGCGGCGCCCATGGCGACGAGCTCGAAGACGCAGGCGTCCCCGACCAGGAGCCGGTTGTCCACCGCGAACTCCGACCATCCCGCGTCCAGCTTCTTCATCTTGAGGTGGCCGCAGTAGCTCGTCGCCCACGACTTGCCGCCGGAGTGGAGCACCGCCGCCGTGCGCGCCTCCGGCTCCGCCAGCCGATGCTGGAACCGAGGTGGAATCCACTGCATATAAATAATATTAGTGCGCGCGCGCGGACAAATTAAATAATCAAATCAATTCCGCACAGACATATATATATATATTTAATTATGCATGATGATATACTTATCCACATAATGATGATTATTAGGAGTAAATTAAACAAGTGCAACTTTAGGCTAAAAATTTATCTTTACATGAATGTATTTTTAGAGTGGTTTTCTTCTCATTTTTAAGTAACTGAACCAATAGTATTCTATCCTCGTTTTCTCACCATATCAATTAAGGACATAGTAGTAGTCTTTTAACATATTTCTTAATATGTCTTTAAATAGCTAAAACCTCACTTATTTAGGGATGGAGAGAGTACTCTTTAACTTAAAAGAAAACCGTTTAATTACTCCCTCCATTTCCAATTATTACATTTGTCCTAAGCTCTATCTTAGCACATCACTTTTACAAATTTATCTAGTTTAACAATATGTGAATTATATATTATGAAAGTATTTCTAGTAGTGAATCTTAATGATACAATAAGGTATATGTTAAACTACAATAATTTTTAAAAATTGATAGTCGAAGATATAAGTAACATTTTTATTAAATGAAGAATGCACATGCATGTTCATCACCACCACGCATGCACACACCATAAGTGTGTTCCCTTTTTAATACACGTACTCCCTCCATCCCAAATAAAAGATAACCTATGTGGGGATTTGATACTATCTAAAATAATAAATCTGGATAATAAATCTGGACATGTTGTCAAATCATCATAAATGTTGTCTTTTTTTTAGACAGAGGAAGTACACTCGAAAAGAAAAAAATGTCGAGATGAGCTCATTGTGCAGTGGCTAGGATGGCAAGCACTATCAGCCTAGGTTCGAGTCTCTTAATCAAAATTTCACCATGTTTGATGTGCTAGGATAAAATATCTTATTGCTTCTTTTTTAACTTCATTGGTGCTAAATCATTTCTGGGTGTCCAAACTTTTCGAAAAAGAAGATACCAGCGATAAATCCGTGATGCTTACCATCTGGAACTTGGGGTGGAGATGAGACTTGGCGATGAGGGCGGTGAAGAAGGGGTTGCCGGCGGCGAGAGGGGTGGTGGCCTCCCAATCCTCGCCGGATCCTGAAGCCGGCGGCGGCGGCGGCGGCAACTCGTCATCGTCGTCGCAGGGTTCTACTTTTGGTTTGATGATGGGCTTGGCCTTCAGCTTGGTAGGATCAGTGTCCAGCTCCATCTGACAAGATCAATCTGCCATTCATTGTAAACAAAATAGGGAAATCGATTGTCCTAGTAAAATGTGCAAGGAATTTTCAGAGCTTCTTCAGCAAACTTGACAAAATTATGTACTGCAAAACTATTTCTGTTCATGCCATGACGAAAACCTTTTGCAATGTGCTAGAATTTGCAACATAGGAACTGAAGAGCAAGATTCATGTGCACAATAATTTGTAGAGAGCAAGATTCACACCAGAATTATGTATCACAAGGACAAGAAACTGATAGCAGCAGCAGCAGCAGCTGGACAAACATGTAGTACTACTGCAGAAGGGTCCTAAAAAAATAAAGAAAAAGAGAGCAGAGTAAAGGAAGAGGAGAGGGCAGTACCTGAACTGAAGAGGCAGCAGAGTCAAGGGCTGTATCTACCAATGGCAAAACTACCAGGAGTCAATTTATACTCTTCAGGTTCAGGCATGCCAACAGGCACCACGATAAAAGCGCCAACTAACCAACCAGCCAACCAATCACAACACGAGGCTTAATTGCTCCTCTACCTCTAGTGCATAGAGACAGTGAGAGAAGCAGATTGCCTCTTGTTTTATTGTTTTTCTTTTCTTTTTTTTCTTCACCACTGTTTGAATTTTATAGCATCGTATTTATTCTCTAGCATGAGTTTTTTAATCACTAAGAATACAAACATAAAAGGTCTACACGTAAACTATGTTTATTGCTTCTTCGGGTTTTTTTTTTCACAGTTTACCAATCGTAGAGCAAACAATGAAGATGGTCTCAATGCTCTATTAAGAAAATAACTCCACCGCCCACCACTTATCTTAGTTTGACAGAATATCACCTTATTTAGTTTCATTACACTGCACATTTTGCAGAATATTCTACAAAATTCCACGCTATTGATCCAAGTAATTGCCAAGAATTTTGTACATACGGGGGATCAGGGCCTCAGGGGAACCTAAAAATTGTATACGCATCCCCATGAAAAATCATACAGCAGTGATGTAGTATAGTATAGTGCATTGAAGCAGCAGAGCTTGGATTTGATGAACAGGTTTCTAAGCTTCATCATTCAAAGATCCGATATGCATTTCCCACTGATGAAATCAACCACTTCTGTAACTGCCTTGTCCAGAGCTGCTGTCACAGCAACCAGGTTCTGCAGAAACTCCTCGGCTGTTGGTTTCTCCCCATCAACAATATCAGTCACAGCTTTCACAAAGATTGCCGGTGTTGAAAACATGTCAGCAACATATGCCACCGCGGCTCCCTGGAAAAACAAGAATAACGAAGCCAGTTTGAGCCTACAAATTACAACTGAAAACAAAGCAGAGCAGCAGATAACTTCGTATGAATACCAGTGCACACAAAGTATCTTATTCATGCTAGTCGATTTAACTTGAACTCAGGCATTAACAAAAAAACTGAAGAGATCAGCAAATAATTAGTTGGATAAAAATATATTCCTATAGACATTTGCCTACTTCAATGCCATAACGACCCACAAAATGCAAGATGTGTAAAAGTTGTCCTAAAGTTCATAAAGGATGAACTCATTCCAACTTCCAAGAGGAACCTATGGTTGAAGACCTCCATTTCCCTGTTGTGTGCCTATGTTCTTAAGCTGAATGCTTGAGCAGAAGTAAATAGATACCTCCATATCCTTGACTGTAGCATCATTGTTCAATATTGCTGACTCGTCATGGGGAGACATATCTAGAGAATCGCCAGTTGAGAGCTTCCCAACCTGAAGCAAATAAGGCACAATGACTTCCGGAATGTTGAACACTAGCATGTGATCGACTCATCTTGTTGAGTCTATACAGTGCTACAGTTTACCAATAAAATCCACAAATTCGTTTCAGAAACAACACCATGCTAAAGGAGACAGTAAGATATATGCATGTAAGCACGACTCACACAGTATTCATTCCAGCAGTTTGGCATCAACTAGCATAGCTCTGTAGCTTACCTTCAAATTGAGTTCCTTCAATATATTAGGGGTAGCAAATGTTTTTCGTGTTCCAATTCCATACATGTCGAAGACCTGTGGATAAGCCAAGAAGGTCCATGTCAACATCTCAATTAAACGTGTATAGATTATCTAAAAAGAACTTGTAGAAAATATGGCGATGCAAATATAATATCTTGAGAATAAATGGCAAAGGAGCAGATGTCACCAGAAGCACAAGTGAGTAAAGCAGACTATAAGTTTATAAATAATTAGTTGTCACGGTGCAGGAAGGTAGAATTAGAAAACCATGAAACGGACTGGATTATGAAATAAACAGATAAAAACTAGCAATGTTTTGTTCAAGACATGTATGACTTTCTGAATTCTAATAATGTAGCACATCAATGAACTGAATAAGGTCACACTGCAGAAAAATGGGACTAGGTCCACAAAAAAAAATACTACAAGACATAACAGAACACTCACAGGGATAGGTATTCTCCTATCGTGGAATGCAACATCGGATGCTAAGTAGACATCTCCAATGTCTGCTCCTTTGGCCTGAAAGACCAGAAGGGAAACAACATCAGAACCCAGGTACAATAAAACGACAGCATGGCATCAAACATGTGATATCTTGAAACATTACCTTAAACCCACCAGCAGTGCCAGCATTGATGATCAGATCTGGCTTCAATGACTGAATAGAAGCATAAGTCACAAGTGCTGCTGATACCGTGCCAACACAGTCAACTCCTGAAAGAAATAAGGTTAGTTTGTGGATAAATTGTAAGAATTACATGATGAAGAAACCTATCAAATTATTGCTTGATTCTTGACAACAAGCTGGTGAGCAGCATATTATAGATGACAACTTACCGAGAACAGGATCTTTTCCAGGCCATACAAGGTCAACGTGAAGGCCTTTGTAGTTGCCATGGTATCTAATCCATGGGGCACCTTTAGGAAATCTGTTAGGCGTGTGCCACAAAGGTAGGAGTTAGCTTCAGAGCTGAGAGTATCGGACAGGTTATATGAGCAAAACAGGGTGATGACACAAGGTTAAAGCTTAATTTATGTATGAAGGACACAGGAACAGGAATAGTGAAAACGGATCGTATCAGACTATCCCTGTAAGTTGGATATAATTATTTCCAAAAGTTTCGAGGACAGCTGACATTGACATTTTCATGAGACAGATTAAACGAAGGTTGCCACTAAACTTGCCTAGTAAAGCAGAACATCACCATCCACAAAAATAACTTGTTCTTTTTTCTTTTCTTTTTTTTTAAAAAAAATCCTAATTCCAGGGATTTAACTTATAACCACCCAACAGCAGTAAGTGCAGCATGGCATGGAAGGATAGGAAATGGTTGGTGAAGAGGAACAAGGGGGGAGAAACGGGAGAACACTACTAACATGGATTCCTCCGCCTCGACGAGGTGGAACTTGTTGACGAGCGGGAGCGCCTCCGTCTGCATCGCTGAAGCCAAACCAACCAAACAACAGCAACGGGATTAGCAACAAGAAGCAGAAGCGCAGGAGGGGATGAGGATTGAGAGTACCTATGACGATGAGGAGCTTGGAGATGGCGCCGGCGGGGATCGGGGCCGAGTCGTCGGAGTCGGAGGGCGGGGCCATGGGATTGGGGGCTGCTCTCTAAACCCTAGCTGCTGCTGCTGCCGCCGCCGCGTGGTGGGGGAGGAGAGAGAGGCGGTGGGTGTGGGTCGTCAGATAGAGGGCAGCTTGACGGCATGATTAGCGCCGGCTGTCACTGCTAATTGCCGGATTTCATTTTAAATACTGCCCCCTCTTTTGTCACTTCTCACACGTCTATCAATGTTTTTAGAGATGGGTAATGCTTAACTTTAAAAACTGTATGTATGATCTCCGTCTGTATTCACATTGATCATGTGGAAAATTTAGAGAAACTACTCCATGGATCTAAAGCTAAGTAATACCTCCGTCCCAAAATAAATGATGTTTTACTTTGTTCACATCTAAATTTTTTTTACTGTTCATCTTATTAGAACTTTTTTATGATTAGTATTTTTTATTAAATGATAAAATATAAGTTCACATAACTGATTTTTTAAAAAAATTTCATAAAATTTTTAAATAAGTCAGGTTGGATACGGATATCCACGGCTGCACTTATTTTGGGACGGAGGTAGATATAAGTCTTTAAAATAGTTTTATGAGAATTATCTGTATCACTTTAAAAGCATTTTTTTTCTTTTATCCGGTCCTAACCTCCACGTATTAAAAGATATCCTCTTATATATAAAACACCTCCCACCCTCACCTATAAAAAACGTTGTAGAAGAAAATATCAGATTAAACTACGTTTCTTACCTCCTAAATCTTGTTGCAATGCAGGCTTATGTGACTAATGTAAAAAAAAGTCGTTTTTTTCTTTTTACTGAGTGAAAAGTATAATCAATTTGTTACTTTTTTTTTACTCTCTCTCTCGGTCATGGTCCGACATGGAATAAGTTCACTTTGGGTCCCTCTATTCGTCGCCCAGTCTGATTTCCGTCCCTTGATCGCAAAACCGGATACGACAGGTCCCCCAACTTACGAAACCGTTTAAATAAGGTCCCTCGGCAGTATTTGACCCCGGTTTTGGCTGAGGTGGCACCTACGTTGCTAATTTGACTCGGTCTTCATCCGACGTGGTATTGACGTGGCGCTTACGTGGCAATTCAATCAAAAAATAATAAAAACTATGGGACCCACATGTCAGTTTCACACACACAATAATAAAAAAATGGTGGGGCCTACATGGACCCCACCTGTCATCCTCCCTACAGCTCTCTCTGTCCCCTCTCTCTATCCTCTTTCCTTCCTCTTCTCTCTATCCCCCTCTCTCCCCCCTGAGAATGGTGAGCGGCGGCGGGCGGCGCAGAGGGGCGGCGACGCAGCTGAGAGGCGGCAGGCAGCTTGTGGAGCGGCGGCACGCACGCGCGTGGCATCGGCGCTGGCGCGGTGGAGGCCCCGACGCACCCGCTCCCCCACCCCCACACACCTCGCGCTCGCGGCGGCCACCGGCGCGGCGGCCGCAAGAACCGCACCGACGTTTACAGCTTCGGGATGGTTCTCCTCGAGCTTGTGCATGGCCGCAAGAACCGCAGCGAGCACGTGAGCGACGGCGTCGGCGCCGCCACCGGCGACGACTCCAACTCCTCGAACAGGACAATGGGCAGCTCGTCACGCGGCGCACGGAGCGACTACTCGGTGATGGCGAGCATCTCGGCAAGAGACGACGACGAGGCCGAAGATGGCGAGCATCTCAGCGAGCCCCACCACGTGGAGCAGCGTCGACGACCAGATCTTCTCCCACCACCACCACATTAGGTACGCCAGCGACGCCGCGAACAGCGCCGAGAATATAAGGTTCGTGTGCCGATGGGAAAACAGATCAAAATTTGTATAGACCTCACGATGCACAAATTAATCCCTCTGTTTACAAATCAACCAAAATGATCAATGCAACCGTATAATCTATCTTGGACCGGAGAGAGCTGCGACGACGACTTGTACGACGGCCATAGAGCCGGAGGAACCCGAGTGACTGCACCCACGGCTCCCACACCTCCATGGTGCCCTCAAGCATGCCGACCACCATCGCCATGCTCGGCCGCAGCTGAGGGTCCTCATGGAGGCAGCAGAGCCCCACCTTTATCACCCTCTCCACCTCGCCGGCGACCACCTTCCCCTCCAGCCGCAGGTCGCCCAGCTCGGCGTACTACCCTGCCTCGAGCCCCTCCAGCGCCATGAGTGGGAAGTAGTCGCTCTGTGTGCCACGCGATGAGCTTTGCCGGTGGCGGCGCCGCCGCTACCGCCGGCGCCGGCGCCATCGCTCACGTGCTCGCTGTGGTTCTTGCGGCCGCGCACAAGCTCGAGGAGAACCATCCGAAGCTGTAAACGTCGGTGCGGTGCTTGCGGCCGCCGCGTCAGTGGCCGCCGCGAGCGCCAGGTGTGTGGGGGTGGGGGAGCGGGTGTGTCGGGGCCTCCACCGTGCCAGCGCCCACGCCACGCGCGCGTGTGCCGCTGCTCGCCGCTACTCCACAAGCCGCCTGCCGCCTGTCAGCTCCGTCGCCACCCCTCAGCGCCGCCCGCCGCCGCTCGCCATTCTCAGGAGAGAGAGAGCGGGATAGAGAGGAGAGGAAGGAGAGAGGATAGAGAGAGGGGGGATAGAGAGAGCTGTAGTGAGGATGACAGGTGGGGTCCACGTAGGCCCCACCATTTTTTTTTATTGTGTGTGTGAAACTGACATGTGGGTCCCATAGGTTTTATTATTTTTTGGATTGAATTGCCACGTAAGCGCCACGTCAATGCCACGTCGGATGAAGACCGAGTCAAATTAGCCACGTAGGCGCCACCTCGGCCAAAACCGGGGTCAAATACTGCCGAGGGATCTTATTTAAACGGTTTCGTAAGTTGGGGGACCTATCGTACCCGGTTTTGCGATCAAGGGATGAAAATCAGACTGGACGACAAATAGAGGGATCCAAAGTGAACTTATTCCGTCCGACTTCGACCGGATAGACCAACATGGGCCTCTCAAACTTATGGGCTTATCAGGTAAGCCCAAATGTGAATTCACGTTATGAGGCCGGTTTGGTTTGTATTTGTATTGGGCTCTCTTCTTTGATTGTCAAATTATTCTACTTCCTCCGTTTACGTTTACTTTTACATGACGTACTTTGATTTCCGAAAGTTAAACTCAAAAGATTTTGATCAATAATTAATTAAGGTAGTATAGTTAGTATATAGAACTTACACTATCAGACTCACAGTTCAAAGTATTTCCAACCAACATTAGTTTTATATCCATTAGAAACATATGTCATGATAAATTCAAATGGATGGTTAAAATTTATTCTCAAAGAATGAAACTGAGCTCAAAAGATCCCTTGGGATGGGAGTATGGGACCTGCTCACTCAAGTTCAATTCCTAGACTTAGCACAAATGCTCACATTCATGTCTACGGTGACTTCTTCAATTTTAAGATACGTTGATCCAGTCTTTAAAAGTGCATACTCATAGAGATAAAGTGTATGTGTATGAGTTTAGAAGTGAGTGTACGAACGTGAATATAAGCGCGGTATTGTTTTGAAAATAGATTTTAAAATAAACAAACACTATAAAAATGAACTAATGGAGTATAGTATTTCTTCTTCACCCTGCTAGCTCTTCTTCCTCCTCTCCTCTCAGTAGCCCAACCAATTACAAGTATCCTGTAGGTACTAGGTAGCAATAGCATTGACCGCGCGCAACATGAGTGTTTTGCTGAGTACTTGTGCTACAGTTATGGACTGTGGATGCATAATTAGTTAGTGGGAGCCAGACAGTCAGTTATCTGACCATCTTGCTAGCTTATTAGCTGGAGTAGATTGCTAGCCTGGACGAAATGAAATGCCGGAGACACATGCATGCAGGCACTGAATGAAAAAGACAAATTAATATCTATATCTGACATTTCAGAATATATATAATTGCCATCAAAACCTTCAGCTACACTATTTCTTCAGTCAAGTTTGTACTACTAATTCTGTATGCATTGACGTGTTCCAGTTTTACAGTACGAAGAATCAGATTGTTCTTACAAAATTTTGAAAGTAGAGACATTTAACTCAAACATATTATATAATACGTTCATCCAGTAACCAAGAAGATCAATTCGATTTCAATGCGTTTTAGAAGCAATTAGTTAAAGTGAGAAAACAAGCAAGCGGTAGGGCAGCAAACCTACATACTAGTAGCTACAGTAGTACAGTGACAAGACATGGATCGGATGACGATCAATCAAAGCTCTGTACTAACGTATAAGTGCAGTCCCAACCCATAATGTCTATAAGTAGTGTCTATTATGCCATGTCAATAAGACATCACAGCAGAAAGAGAAAATCCCCTGTGTACCCTTGAAAGTTCACCTAATCCCTTCTATACCCTGAATTTTGCTCAATCCCTTACATACCCCTGAATTTTAGTTTGGATCCCTTCCATGCCCTTTCCGCTAGTTGACCGTTAGTTGACCGTTAAATTCTTATGAAAAAGTCCATTTTGCCCTTTGGTATAAAGAAGCATATAAATTAACAGATAAATTAACAGAGTATATTGTTGGAGCATAGAAATTTATTATATGAGACTATTATGTTTATTAGATAGTTATGCACCATATTATTTGCGATAAATATACTTTTAGATATGACATAAAAAATTAATACTAATTTATTAGTTATTAAAAGATTTTTTTTAGCATATGTGTTCTGAAGTAATAAACAAATCTGTTGTATTACTATGAAAACACATATGCTACATAAAAGAACTTTTAATAACTAATAAATACGTATCAACTTTTTATATCATATGTAAAAGTAAATTTGTCACAAATAATATGGTGCATCACATACTCATAAATATAATAGTCTTATCCAATAAATTTTTACATTCCAACAATATACTTCATTAATTTATTATGTTTCTTTATAGCAAAGGGCAAAATGGACTTTTTCAAAAGAATTTAACGGTCAACTAGCGGAAAGGGCATGGAAGGGATCCAAACTAAAATTCAGGGGTATGTAAGGGATTGAGCAAAATTCAGGGGTATAGAAGGGATTAGGTGAACTTTTATGAGTACATAGGGGATTTTCTCCAATAGAAACTACACTCTACAACCCATGGTTTCTTAAAGTGGATCATTAATAAATACATCATCTCTCTTCTCTACCAATCAGATTTATTCTTCATCTATTATGAAGACACTATT